AAACCCATGGTTTTCTTCTGGGAACTTCTGTAAGATAAAAGAACTGCTAAAGTAGAAATGTGTGCATATGTTTCTCAAGTAAACATTTTTTTTTTTTTAAGGGAACATGCCCAGTGTTGCTGGGGAGTTTGAGACCACTCCTGACAACTCTTGATCCAGTAGTGTGGGTTTGAGTGCCCGGTGATGCAGTGCTTTTCCAGAAAGTGGTGCTAGGTGGTGCTAGGATGGTTATCAGAGCAACAGCTAATGTGCTGGGGTATGGAGTGCTGAGGATTGAACTTGGAACCTCAACACATGTGAGACACTTCAGCCACAGCCCCAGTCACTCAAATGAACTTTCAACGGGTATTAAGAATTAACAGGTTTTTTTTCACCTGTTTTAGAACAACTGCAAGATAAAGAATATATTTGTTGAAGAAATAAATCGAGACAGAATAGATGATAGTTACACATCTTTTATTTGTGACATCTGAATTCCTAATCTCACATAGAAATGATTTCATAAATATTCTGTAATATTTTTATCTTGCTTTTCTAATTGATTTCATTGAATTATCCTATTCTTAAAAGATCTTTATTTAATCACAAATGGAACTAAAATATAGTAAATATTTTTCTGGTGCATGTATTTAGAAAAGATACTGAAAAATTTGAAATTATGATAATAAAAGCTATTAAACCTGCTTATCAGATTAGAAATGGGCTCTTCACCATAAAAGTTATAAAAACATTATTTATTTGTTTAAAATATCTTACCCAGTATTACTAACTGCCCAGAACTAAACAGCTTTTTGTTTAGTTAAATCTAAAAAGCTTTTTGTTGTTAATTTAATTTTTTAGAAATCGGAGAAATTCCCCACATTATTTCCAAAACACATTTTAGCTAATTTTAGGAGAGAATTTCATCTCATCCAGGACCAAAATGATCACAGCACAAATAACAATAGTATTTCCCAAGTGATACATCAATTTTTAAGTGATTTTTCCTTTATCCATATTTCTTGACATAGCCATGCATTTTCTATCCCATTTCTTTTTCTTATAGTATGACACCCACGGGGTGTGTAAATGATTTAAGACTAGGGACCATAGGAAGTAATGTGTGTCCATCATTGATCAGAATGATGAACTGGCACAAATTACTATGAAAAGATGAAATTAACTCACGCATCTCTTTGCATATTAGAGGTAATTAAAACAAAAGGAAACAGTGTACAGTGTAATTTTATGAGGAATGATAAAGGTAGGAAGGAAGGACACTCAGGAAGATAAACCAGAAGGACCAAATATAATTTAGAATAAAACCTTGATAAGGCTTTTGTGGGTGGAAAACTATCATAAGAAAGAAAATTTATAAATATTAAGAAAAATGTCTGAAGAAAGCATGCAATCATTTCCTTTATTGCAAAAGAGAAAGAAAGGAAATGATTGCATGCTGGTTATATTCATGATACACAGCCACATGGAAAGCTTTGGAAAGTATTCATTTTGAGCTCTCAGAAATGTTAGCGATAGGGGGTGCAGACTACCAAGAGAATTCTGTTAGTGAGAGAACCTTAAAGAAGCTGAAGAATTCTGATTAAGATCATCTTGTACATTCTGTCGTTTTACTTGTCCTGGCTCTCAGGAGTTAAAAAACACGAGGAAGGGAGAATTCATGTAAGAATCAGAACTGACACTAGGGGAGTATATATTGACCAATTAAAAAAATTATCATCTCCCTATGGAGTCTTTTCTGACATTTTATTCTTAATCATCTCCCTAACCCCATGAAATTTTGGTAGCACTCAATATACTTCATATTTGGTTACATGGATTGTGACCCTCTGAAGGGATACAGTCACATTATAGTACCTAATAGTCACCCAAATAAATTTTGTGCCTGTGGGCATCCTCCTGCAATGAAAATGTATGCTCCCTAAAATAAACCCAGGCTCTAACTCCAAGTTCAATAACTTTTCAATGAGAAAAGTTATATGTATTTGAACTGTGGTTACAGGGAACAAGCAAATTTTCATTGGCCAGCATAATTGTGCATGCACGGCCCTTTATTGCTTTGCATATCCTTCTTATTCTCTCTTGTCTCTGTTAAATGGGAAATATTAATTCTTTGCCACTCTATATCAAACTGATAGCTGTAATCTTTCAGAAGTTTTGGATATCTCTGAGGATATCAAGGGAAAAATGCTCATATGTGTAGACTCATTCTTTAAAATTCATGTATATGAAAAATTTCATATCTTTATTATTAATTCTAGGCATTTATAATAAAGTAATCAGGCTGACAGCACCTGAACTCACCTGGCAAAATTTAATGTCCTTAAAAAGAGACAACTATACATTATATGCTAACATTCCATGTGTAGTATTCTAACAAAGTTTAACCTGAATATAATGATAAAGAAACAATTAAAAGAAAAATCCAGGTTGTGGGATATTCTATACAGACTGCCCTCAACTCTTCTCTATCTCTCTCTCTCTCTGCCTCTGTCTCTCTCTCTGTGTCTCTCTCTCTCACTCAACACACACACACACACACACACACTGAGAACTTTAACCTAGTAAAAAAGATAACTAAATGCCACATGTAATGCTTGATTAGGTCTTAGATGGGGTATAAAAAAGAGTCAAATGACATTTTTAGGACTACTGATAATATAGTATTTTAAAGTTTTACAATGTCTTCAACATATTTTGAAATTATTAAGCAATAAGAATATATACTTATGTTCTTGATGTTGACAGTTTGAAAAACATTAACAATTGGTAGAAGTGAAAGGTTTATTGGTGTTCATTCTATCTTCCAGAAATTTTTACTTTGAAATTTCTCAAAACTGAAAAAAAAAAGGAGTAGAAAATGAAGCAAACAATCCTATCAGGTTAGGAGGAAGAAGCAGGTTGTCATTTTTTGGATCCTGAGAATAGAACAAAAGATGTCTAAAGGAAGGACTTTAGGAACTGAAGGACCTCATTTGCAAAAGACCTACTTATAATGTAGTCAGGCCCAAGAGATAAAAATGCGTACACAGACTTAGTTTGGAATTTTCCAGAGTTTTGTGGGAATAGGAATATTCTGTAATTACAGAAGAATGGTTTTTTAAATTAAGAAGTTATCTTAAAAAACGGGCCAGGAGGATTGGTCAGTGGTTGGTCAATGTTGTGGAAGATGAAGGGTGGTTAAGATAGAGGAGGATCCATTCTGACAGTACTAGTTGGAAATGATCACTCTGGACATGAGCTGAGTGTTGAAAGCAGGTAAAGGGATAGAGATGATAACCTTTCAGCATCTGTAACACAAACTCTAATGCCTAAAATGAGAGAGAGAGAGAGAGAGAGAGAGAGAGAGAGCAAGAGAGAGAGAGGAAGAGAAAGAGAAGAAAGGTGCCTGCCATAGAGGAAGACTGGGGTTTGGGGGTGGCTTGAAGTGGTGGGAAGGAAACGGGGGGCACTGGTGCTGGGAAATTACACTAGTGGAGGGATGTGTGTTAGAACATTGTACGACTGAAATGTAATCATAAACAAATTTGTAATGCCTATCTCGCCCTCATGGCAAAGCCTGGCAAGCTACCTGTGTCGTATTCGATATGCCAAACACAGTAACAATTGTCATAATGGAGACATTACCTGGCCTGCTCAAGCAAATCGATGAACAACGGGAGGACAGTGACAGTGACAGTAACTATCTCATGGTAGCACTGCCTGTCACTGTCCTCCCATTGTTCATCAGTTTGCTTAAACGGGCACCAGTAACGTCGCCAGTATGAGACTTCTTGTTACTGTTTTTGGCATATTGAATATGTCACAGGGAGCTTGCCAGGCTCTGTCACGTGGGCGGGATACTCTCGGTAGCTTGCCAGGCTCTCCAAGGGGGATGGAGGAATCAAACCAGGTCGGACAAGTGCAAGGCAGATGCCCTACCTGCTGTGCTATGGCTCCAGCCCCCTATCTCATGGTAAGTGAATAAATTTAAAAAAAAGAAGTTACCCCAAAGAGTGGATTAGTCCAGTCAAAAAATTGAACTAATACCAATTAGTCCAATTTAGGAAGAAATTGTGTGAAGAAATACCAGGAAGAAATTATTTCATGAAGTTTAAGAAATATTTGGATGTTTAGAATTGAGTGGAAGTTTGGATGCACAAATAGGGAATAGAAAATAAGCTCTAAAAGCATTTTAAAAACTCACCAGTACCCTGTTTGACTAGGCATTATTGAAATGTAGGAACACAGCCAAGTTTTTAATGTGAAACTCCGGTGGTTTTCTATGGGGCAGAATTCCAGAGTTCTTCCTAGTGCATGGGCTTCATGTTGTCAACCATCCATGTTCAACAATTCCAAGTGCTTGCTATATGTTGCATATGTTGAGAATAGGGGCTTTTCCCCCCTGAATCTTTAGGACAGTTAGTTATTCTTCTAGTTACAAATGATACTGAGAAAAATATTATCCTCTCAAAGAAGGATAATAGGAGGGGGGTAAAAAATACACACATACTGTCGACTGAAGTACAACAATATGGAAAGAGGTAGCAGCATTTGGGTTCCACAGATAAGGGTCAGTTAGCCTATTGGGTTAGGTCCATGCAGAGAGTCACCATGTTCAAACCATGAGCTTTTTTCCTTAGTTCAGTCAAAGAAAAATTTCATGTTTGCCAGACTGTTGTTATACCCACATTTAACTAACACATTCCACATAATAAAACAAAATCAGAGTTGCTTAGTTATACTTTAATCAATATCACATTAAAACTTACTAATACATTCTATTTCCCTCCACCAACTGATATTTTAATCAAGTTCAAATGATCCCTGGGAGTATTATTTCCCTCTCATCACAGGCTCTTAGGACCACCACAGTTTCATGAATGAATCAGAGAAGGCAGCATTTTTTCTATTAAAACTCACTTAGGTTTCAAAAGGCAAGACGTAGCACAGAATGTGATAGTATGTCTACTGGAATAGAAAAACTGGGAAGGAAGGAAGGAAGGAAGGAAGGAAGGAAGGAAGGAAGGAAGGAAGGAAGGAAGGAAGTTAACTTAAGCACTGTTACCTTGGCAACTGTACTGATATCATAGGAGCTGATAGTAATTTTGTGCCCAAATATAATATGGCTAAGAGAAAAAAGGAGGGAGGAGAAGAAAGAAAACATTGACTGTATTCAGAAGCTCCACCAGCTGGGCTGGTTCCAAGTCAATAGGCTTCGCTATTGAGCAGTGTGCACCAAACAACCAATTGTACTGTTGCATTTTCACTGAAATTTTAGTTTTATGCAGAGACAGCCGTGACTCCCTATCCTTAAACAAAGAACAAACACTGCACTAATTGGGCTCAGGGCTTCTGATGACCGTTCTTGGTCATTTCTCTTCTGGGAAACAGAAGAATGATCTTGAATGGAAGAGACTGGAATGAGTGCGGTTATATTTTAAAACACACACACACACACACACACACACACACACACACTCACACACTCTGTTGAGGGTGAACTGGCAACTCAGACTTATGCTGGCAACCAGTCTCTGCCTTGGAATTAAGATCAAGTTAGCAATTTAAAAAAAAATCAAGTTAGCAGACCCTGTTTGGGGTAGAGACAAGCCTCCCCATGGTATGGTCCCTGTCCAAACTGCCTGTTAAGTGGGGTCTTGGGTCTCTCTGGAGCGACAGCCTTGAAGGAAGGAGGTTAGAACAGACAGTCGGTGTGGAAGCTTCCAGAGACAGAGAAGACTTGTTATAGGAAAGTTTGCTGCACAACCAGAGCTCCAAAATTCATTCGGCACTTAGAAAACACATTACAGGAGTCGGCCACCTGACAAGGCAGGTAAGTATTTCAGTCTCAAAACCTGAATTCCAGTAAAGCTTAGATGGCAGGCAGAATGGTGCCTGCAGGCTAAGTGCCAAGGCTTCCCTTTGAGCCCATGGCCCGTGTCTCTCTCTCACTGGGGCCAGCCGGGCCCACAGATCGTGGCTAGCAGCACTCAGAGGGTTAAGAGCACATGAAATGAGTGGGGAATGTCTCTCAGGAGTCACTGCTGGTCTCCACCTGCTCCTGGTAGGAGAAGGGGTACTTCCTCCAGAAGGTCTCCCTCCTGCCCACTTGGGAATCCGGAGGAAACAGCTCTCCTCTTTCTTCCGAAGCGTGAGATGGGGTATTAGTGACACATCCTGCTGGTCATCTCTTTCTGGAAAGCAAGGAGAGAAAGGATGATTAAGAGAAATGATAAGCAAAGTAATGACTTGTTGCAGGTATCTGAAAATACAACCCAGCATTCCCCAGAGCTTTTAAACAACAAGCATGGCCCAGGAATAAAGATCAATATAGCTCAGCATGTGGATGGTTTGTTATTGTTGTTTCCTGGAAAGTTGCAAGATCTGGAGCCACTGGGCAGCTGGAGTTGCAAAATGACCAGCCTCTTCGGATGGAGAATCTGTTTTCCAGTTCCCTGTAAGTACTTCCCATGTCCTGCTGCCCTGCATCAGGGAATACCTGACAGCACTTACCCATTGATGGGATCATTGGAGAACAATGTTTACTTTAGTCAGCAGTCTCTCCCCTCTCCCACCTTTTCATTTGCTTTAAAATATTTTACTGAAAAGTACTCTCTTACATATGTCAGTAGCATTGATAATGTACAATGAATTGAATCATATTAGAAGTCTTGTGAGTCTTAGAATTTTAATTTCCTCTGGTGTGATATTGCATTATAACATTATGCAAGTTTAATACTGTAGTCAACATCTAGTAGAAACTCTAAATTTCAATGCCAGAAAGAAGAAATGAAGGAAAGCTTAGCACTGTAGCACTGTTCTCTCATTGTTCATCGATTTGCTGGAGTGGGCACCAATAACGTCTCCATTGTGAGACTTGTTACTGTTTTTGGCATATCATATACGCCATAGGGAGCTTGCCAGGCTCTGCCGTGGGAGCGGGATACTCTTGATAGCTTGCTGGGCTCTCTGAGAGAGAGGTGGGAGGAATAAAACCTGGGTCAGCTGCATGCAAGGCAAACACCCTACCCGCTGTGCTATCACTCCAGCCCGAAGGAAAGCTTAAGTAAATTTAAGTTAAGATATAGTTTGAAGGACTTTCAAAATTTTGGTGTATTAATTCATGTTTTCTTTTTTTTCTTTTTGGATCACACCTGGCAATGCACAGGGTTCCTCCTGGCTCTGCGCTCAGGAATTACCCCTGACGGTGCTCAGGGGACCATATGGGATGCTGGGAATCAAACCTGGGTTGGCTGCGTGCAAGGCAAATGCCCTATCCGCTGTGCTATTGCTCCAGCCCCAATTCATGCTTTCTTAACATTATAATTTTTATGTGTCTTTTGTTTGGGTGGGGGGCATACATGCAATGCTTGGGAGTCAATCACTGCAGCACTCAGGGGGGCCCACACAGGGCTAAGGGTCAAAACTTGCAAAGCATGCACTGTATTCTTTGAGCCAGCTCCTGGGCCCTCTTGGTTATTTAAAGAAAATATGGATCCTGTTCTTTGTAGTGATATGAAAATGCAGAGCACACATATTTGTGAAGCTTTAGTAAGCCAGTTTTTACTGCACTAGTATCTTCTGGCATCTTTCACAACAACTCAGTTGGTTGTTTTTTTTTTTTTTGGGGTCACACCCGGCAATGCTCAGGGGTTACTCCTGGCTCATGTACTCAGGAATCACTCCTGGCGGTGCTCGGAGGACCATATAGGAAGCTGGAAATCGAACCTGTATCGGCCACCTTGGCTGCATGCAAGGCAAACACCCTACCCGCTGTGCTATCGCTCCAGCCCCACAACAACTCAGTTTTATTAAAAGATGTTAAATGAAATTTGACGGTAGAATTCAAATCTACCCTTCTTGGCAGAGACAGATTTAAGACTGGAATGTAGTTCTCCATGACAACCTTATCAGCATTTGTGGTCTCCTTATTTTTAGGTACCATGTTCAGGTCAAGTGTTGCAACTAAACTTGTTTCCATTTTTACCTAAGCTATGGGCTTCAGGCTAAGCAAGGATTCACCCATGATAACTATTACAATCCCTGCTTATCAAACTAGAGCTGGCATAATATTAAATAAATCTTGCAATGGCACAGAAATATTATATAAAATGCTAGCTTTTTTTTCTCAGTGAGCTATTTTGTTTAAAAAAAAATCAAATACATGAGTTCAAATTGAGATAAAGACAAGACTTTTTGTTTTTGCTTTTGGGCTACACCTGACAGTGAGTAGGGCTTACTCTTGGCTCTGCTCTTGGTAATCACTACTGGGCGAGCTCAGGGGACCACGAGGGGTCTCAGGGATTGAAGCCACGTTGGCTGTGTACAACGCAAATATCTCAAGTGTTGCATTCTCTCTCCAGCCACAGAAAGGACATTTCTTAATTAAAATGAAGGATGAGTCTGACCCACCTGGTGTTCCAGGCAACTATCTACCTTATCTGTCTGCTTCTTAGGGGCATTCAGTGACCCCAGACATTCCATCTTTTTTCCTCTCTGGCCCTCTACTTGAGTTTAGACTTGGACTGTGGTCTGTACCTATCACATTTTCCCCTTTTACTTGACTAAATGATGTTGTCTTTCCCAACAGAGACAAGATGATTTTCAGCTGCTTGGGAGACCTTCTAACCCTCTTCCCCCTTATCCTTCCACCTGTGCCCCCAGATTCTTGCAGAATTGTTTGCATGTGTATGTACACATGAATGGACTCTGAGAAAGTGTGTCAGTCTGGAAAACTGTGAACTACTAAGTGTCAGAAAAAATAAATACTCATGGCTTCACTAAATGTGCTTTCATCTTGTCTGCATCACTCCTAGCTCTGTGCCTGGCACTGAGCGGCACCTCCTCTTTCATCTCCAGAAATGGCTTAGAGAGAAGGCTGGAATTCACCCTGAGCTATGGAGAAAATGGAAGGGCAAGCTGACTGTCATTTTAATTAGATGAATGAGCTGCTGCCAAGAGGCACCCGCTGCAGCACTGATTCCAACTGCTACAAATATTGACACTGGATATACCAGCCTGTAAAAGAGAACACATCTTAGCTAGGAGGAACTTAGAATGGGGAGAGGCTGCATGTTCAGAGACTACTAGAAAACTCTATCACAGCTGGCTAAGACATGGTAGAATTTAGGCACTTTAGCACCACTATAGAGTTAAAGATACTTATGTTACAAGTGGTACTACATGGAAAGTAGCATGTTAAGCGAAATGAGTTGGAAAGAGCGGGATAGACACAGAAAGATTGCATTCATCTGGGGAACATAAAGCAACAAAATGGGAGACTAACACCCAGGAATGGCTGAGATTAGTACCAGGAATTTTGCTCCATGACTTGGAGGCCAGCCACACGCGCTAGGGAAAAAGGAAGCTCAGATAGAGAAGAGAGCACCAAATAAAGGGTGTTGTGAGGATCCTCCCAGGGTGGGAGAAGCATGCTGAAAGTAGACTATAGACCAAACATGATTGCCACTCAGTGCCTCTCTTGCAAAACACAGTACCCAAAAGAAGAGAGAGAGAACAAGGGGAAATGCCCTGCCACAGAGGCAGGGTGGGACGGGGGTGATGGGGGGTGGGAGAGATGCTGGAACCCGTGGTGGTGGAGGATGGGCACTGGTGAAGGGATGGGTACTTGATCATTGTATAACTGAAACCCAAGCGCAAAAATTTATAAGTCTATATAGACCAAACATGATTGGCACTCAATGTTTCTTTTGCAAACCACAACACCTAAAAGGAGAGAGAGAACAGAGGGGAATGCCCTGCCACAGAGCCAGGGTGGGATGGGGGGGATGTGGGGTGGGAGGGATACTGGGATGCATGGTGGTGGGAAGTGGGCACTGGTAGAGGGATGGTATTTGATCATTATATAATTGAAACCCAAGCACAAAAATATGTAAGTCTGCTACTGTACCTCATGATGTCTCACTATTAAAAAAATATTTTTAATAAAAAAATTTATAAGTCTATAACTGTACCTCATGGTGTTTCACTAATAAAAAATTTTAAAAAAAGAATAATAGCACTATAGCACCAAACAAAAAAAATTAAATGACCAGTTACAGCTACGTATCCTTTAATGTTTGGTATTCACTGGACACATGTGGTGTTAGAGTGTTAGGTGATTTGTCATTGGGTGAACTAATCCAGCACACCAGAAGTTTCTCCAGATTTGATAAAGACTCTTATAGAATTTTGTTAATCTTGTCACTTTCAATGATGTCAACCCTTTACAGCTTCCATCACTTTGTTATTGTTCTTTAAGATCCTAACTATGGTCCAATGGGACAGGCATGACTGATTAGAAATAATCATCACCGATTCTCAATGTTTATAATCCTTATCAAATTCGATTTAATTATCACATCAATCACTCAACCTGGTTTCTTACTGGCAATGTTAGCTTGGATTTTGTATACTTCTGGGCCATGATGAAGTTCTATCATGCACATAAGAGAATGGTACTCTCAAGAAATGTGGTAAAAACGAGATATGTGAGACTACAGCTAATAAACTGCCCTGAAATTCCAAAGGCTATTACATCATTAGGTGATAAGTTCTGGAAACCACTGTTCTTCTTTAATTGGATGTCACCAATGGAAAAGTGATTATGCATATACATAATGAGAGGGGCGGAGGAGTCAGCCGACTCGAATTCAATTCCTCCACTCCTCGGAGAGCCTGGCAAGCTACCAAGAGTATTCCACCCACACGGAAAAGCCTGGCAAGCTCCCCATGACGTAGTTGATATGCCAAAAACTGTAACAACAAGTCTCACAAAGGTGATGTTACTGGTGCCTGCTCTAGCAAATAGATGAACAACGGGAGGACAGTGCTACAGTGCTACCTGATACCTGGGAAACAAGATGTCTGTTCACAAGTAGGAACACTTTTAGGGAGAAGGATTTAATGCCCTGCCACAGTGGCAGGGGGGGATGGGGGGATGGGAGGATGGGGGGGGGGGAGGGATATTATCCTGGTGGTGGAAAATGGGCACTGGTGGAGGGATGGGTATTTGATCGGGGTATGACCGAGATCCAAGAACAAAAATTTGTAAATCTACAACTGTACCTCATGTCGTTTCACTAATAAAAAAGAAAAAAAAAACACACAATGACACAAATGCAAATATTTAGAGATGGGGATTCTGTGAGGTAGGGTAGAATCAAACCACCCAAATTTAGACTGACTTCTGTCC